GCGTTACAAGAATCTGACGTAAACTAGTTAGGAAATCAAAGTAAATAAGTTGAATTTCTGTAATGTGTGTACATTTCTTACTTGTATCGGTGATAGGAAATCTTTAAGGTACGGTTAATCAATACGTCGTCAAAATCTTTCATCATAAATATCCGATCTTGACTTTACCAAACATCGTGTATATGTCAAAACTAACAATAAGTGATTAAGATGGTCTTCATCACAAACGGTTGAATCAATACCACAATTCTTGTGCTATCTAATAGAACACACATGATAGTCAGTAACACGTTTTATCACATCAAGTAATAATTATAAAGATAATTAAATAATTTTTTCTTTATAAAAAAATGAAAGGATTTTTATTTTTCACAATTGAATTGGAAGCATAATTATTGATTCTAAATCTGCTCATTTTGTATGTCAGTAATTTAAAAAAAATATAACAAACTTCCTACAAAAATTATTTTCATCAGCATTTCTTTAGTCCGCGCGAATGACACGGTAACACCGTTGACATTGCAGGACAATTGTTGATGGCGCGCAGGGGTCGTCTCGCTAGCATCTGCGACCCCGCCGGCGAGATGATATGTAAGCCACCCTTATGCATACATATGAGACTCTTTTATGTGATGCAAATATTTAACACGAGATCGTTTTTGCATCCTACAATGCAATATGAATCCTATATATACAAGTTTCCTTGCTGAAAATCTCACGTGTTTGCTGCGATTTGCGCACGAGAGATTAAGTCGGCGGTGCATGATGCTTTCGCTGAGATCACATACCGCGAAAGTAATAATCTCGATCAGATTTTAAGCCTAACGTAACGGAATGTTTTGACATGATGTCAGGTGTCCGCGATAATCGCGTCACGTGCGTCTACGTTTATCAGAAGCAAGTAGCTTGTATATCGCAACAGACATTGCCTTGATTCGTTGATTATCGTTACATAAATGCGATTGTATTTGATGTGGCGAACGCATTTGTGCCTAAGTACCTCGTCATGCGTTGCAACGTGTGTGTGGATTTACAAACTCTCCGCACGTGTCCAGCACGAATTATGTATACCAAGGTATAAAGTCCCGGTTACGCAACACGCCGGTTGCGTTAAATATTTAGATTTGTAGGATGTACGAACGGTATCGAAATTTTGGCGACGCACGATACAACACAATACAAAATTCCAGAGAAGGGTAAGAACGCTATTTCCACGTTCGCGAGGTGTAACCACGGTCGATGAAAAATTTACCGCATGCGAGAATACACAAGTAAATACATCGTCCATGACGATTGGGTACTTTTAGCATTTTATGACAAAATTACCGTGAAATAATGGAGCTGCCTCGGGGATTTGTAATTCAATTATATAATACATTCGCATTCTCGTATTTGGAACATTTTGAAATTGGGATACAAAATTATTTACAAATATTATTGAAATAAATGTAACGTTTAAAAATCATATCACATTAAGAAAAATATTTATGTATAAATTACGCTTTAAATAATCCTGTGATAGATCTCATAGGTCAGTATAATAATTGATTGACCTTAAAGTCTTCTTTACATCGGCGATAGTAATAGAACAGGTCAGGGCTATGGGATAGCCTTTTCCCTTGCAATTTATTTTATAAAATAGTATTTTACCCAACTCTAGTTATGTAACTTACATTACACAACTGGTTACACAATCGTTTTAATTAGAAGATTTCTATACTTTTTTTGCTCTGCTTTCTATGTGTTCTCTGAAAAAAATCTTTCTAATGTGCATGCGTCATCTATCATGGCGTATACATATGTTCATATACACATACATATATATTTTACGCTATTTGTCGGTCGATCGATCAACGTCAACGTCTTCCTTTCACTCGAAGCTTTGAAATCGACGCAGTTGTGCTTAGGGGACGTTTCGGAAACGAAATTCTGTCCCCTTTTTACATTATATAAGTTTCGTTGACATCAAATAATGTCGGGCACTTTTGTGCTGACATCCCTCGGTCCTCGCCAAACTTTGTTTCTTCATTTGATCATTCTCATAGTCTTTTGGACATATAAGAATTTATCTTGTCTCTCTGCTAATATTTTACTAGAAAAAATCTAATTTTTCTTTTATATATGCTATGCAATGTTTCTTTCTGGATTACATTCATTCGCTGAAATGCGCAGAGAATAAAATGCAACATGGCATGTTCATGGAAACTTGAATAGTTTACTTGCTTGCATACCGTTTTGCACGTAAACAAGAATAGCCGATATCGTCTTAAGGATTTATTTGTTTATCTCTAATTTATAAGTTCTCGTAAAAGTTGTCTCAATCTCTATCTGATGACGAACAATGTACATAATGAAAAATTGAGGCCAGAATGTCTATACCGTTATAATATCTATTAATATTGTATGTATTTTGTATTTGTCAACTCTTTCAATCGCATTTAGCTAAACATTTCGCAAGCGATATCATTTTAAACAAATCTCTCATCTGTTATATCTTATTATACTTAGCGTATATATTCTGATAAATGTATGCTCTCTCTCTCTGTATAAATATTGTACATACTCTCGCATATCTTTGTCTGCCGAATGCGACTTTAAGATCGGCGATTCATGCCTTATTGCACAATTGTTTAGTCACTCCGCCAGCCCAGAGAGTACAGTTCATCCTTGGCGAGGAAGTCGGTGACGATGCGCACGAATCGCATCCGCTTTTCTCGGAGATGGAGGAGCTTATCAAGGATGGCGACGAAATGGAATGGAAAGAAACAGCGAGGTAAAGGTCGAGTTGCAACTCCACCTCGATTTTAACTTTTTAAAATGCAGGAATATGTTTGCGCATTGATGTTACGCATCGTCGTTTTACAACGGTATATAATATTTTTACAATTAAAATGATGTTTAATTATATATGCAATACAATGATGTGGAAAAATACATATTACAATACAAACAATTTTAATCTTTTGAATATATCGAAATAAATAATTAAACAAAAATATCAGTGATACAGGAAATACAGAAATAAAATATTGTAATAATAATCTTTTAAATGCAAATTAAAGTATTTTGGATTCATTTAAGACTTAAAAAAGATTAAAAGAGCTTAAAACTTTTAATCTTTAAAATAAAATAGCAAGTATTTTTATAAATCGTATATACGCAAATATTATACATAAATATAATATACGCAGATGGATCAAGTTCGAGGAAGACGTCGAGGAAGGTGGCAATAGGTGGAGCAAACCTCATGTTGCCACTTTATCACTGCACTCACTCTTCGAGTTAAGGAGCCTCCTTTTAAACGGGACCGTCATGCTTGATATGGAGGCGGGCAGCTTAGAACAGATAGCTGATCTTGTTCTCGATAATATGATCAATAAAGGAGTACTGTCGGTCGAATTGCGAGAGAAGGTAAGAATATAGCCAAGTAGGTACGTGAAGAAACGTCATTCTGATACCTGTTCTTCAAAGTTTTATCGCGATATCTTTAGATAGACCACAAATACATTTATAATCCTCACATTTTGTCATTGATATAGATAACGTATGCATGTATAAAAAGTTCATTCATGTGTCTCGTTAAAAAGGGAGCTAACTTATTGGTTACAAAGATAGCAATGTCATTGTCGAAAACCCGTTATCGATATTTAATGAGAGCTAAAAGGTTTAGATTTACAATTCTATATTTATTCTTGATATTTCTGTTTTTTTGAATCAATACTTCGGCACATCAGCCACACACGTGCACACCTCTAACCAATCGATCAGACGGCGTATTAATATCATTTCAGGTGAGAGAAGCCCTTCTCGTCCGACATCGGCACCAACACGAAAGACGCAAAGACAATAACATGTCGAAGTTACCGATCATAAGGTCGTTAGCTGAGATAGGACGCAACCATTCCTCCTCGAAGAGTAAGTTTCACGTTACTTTCTCGTCTCAATATCGGTAAATTACTTTTTGACAGGTTGCCGATGGTTCCACACACACACACATACACATATAGTGTACATAATAACTTGTAATGTCAGGCATATGGAAGCTCAAAAAACACAGATTGTCTCAGCGTGATTAGCACCATCCCATTTGCCTACCTAACGTGCTCGTGCTCAACGTGCGTGCGCTTTTCCTTATTCCTTTTTATTTTATATTTATATTTAATTTGTCATTTTTTCTAAATTATGCTTTATTTTTTGGTTAATAAATTTATTATACATATAGTAAATAATATAATAAACATTATAATTAATAATTATTAGTTCTTAGACAAAACAAAATCCCTATATCTTGTCATAACATTATTATTTTACTTTTATTATTATTTAAATTAATAATTGCTAATATATTTAATTTATTATTTACTATGCTCGTAATGATCCGAAATAATGTTTAATAGATAAATAACAATAATAATAATAATAATAATAATAATAATAATAAATTTGAGATTAAATTAAGGTCGATTTTTTAAACTGATCTTAATTTTTATTTTGCAGATTACTTTTCTTTTATTAATCTTTGATATCGCGGATCATTAAGAGTCTGTTATAATTTAAGTTGATTTAATTTAATTTTATCTTAATTTCTAATCCAATTTTGTTTTTATTTTTACCTGCATTTTCGTTGAAGACCACCCGGATGACGGTGGCGGAGACGAAATGGTCGGGTCCATGGATCTTAGGGTGTGCTAAACTTTGTTAAAACACGTACGACACAATCGACATTTTCAGATTGCGACTGTTCATGTGGTATGCATGCCTTGTTGACGTCAGATTTGCAGGAGCGTCGTGAACCGAAGGACACTTACATGCCGTCCGTCGCCCGCAGCAGCAGCTGCCCGAATTCGAACACGGCACAGCTGTCGAAAGAGGCGAAAGACCTCAAAGGGCCGTACCTTCTGGTTCCAGGTACAACTTAGGCCAGTTCATCCGCTAAGCAGCCTTGGATTGCGGTGCTTTCGTCGCTTTTCTAACCACACCCCAAATGGAACAACCCACTAACAACTACAACATGCGTGTATCGATCGCTTCGCAAATTCTACCTTTTATCGCTGCCGGGATTAAAAGCATTCGCGAGTTTAGTTCCGCAACTTCGATTCTGAGAGATTTGTAATTTGAACCTAATCGATTAGGTTTGCGGCTTAGAACTTGATATGCCAACAAGAAAGTACAATTGTTAGAAAGTTTATTTCAGTTAAGTGTATTGAGGACAAAATTTCAACATTGGTATTTTAGAATAAAATTTTAAAAACGACAATTTGTGATTCTGAATTTGGGAGGCAAGCGATACGTTTAGCTATAACTTGGTATCATTGGATTGTGTGTCATAGTGCGTGCCGATCAAGCGAGGATCAAGACAATCTCGATTGTCGCTGGATCCGTCCGCGATCCGTTGGATTTACAAGCCGATCATGGTCATTCCCCAACTGCCTGATGTTTCTTGGTGATTGTCTTGCTAATTGATTGTCAATGTGAAATACAATCAGCGTCATCGAGACTGCTCATCGCTCTCATCGAGTCACCTCTCTTCGTGTGCTCCGGAGCTCAAGCCGGTCGAAAATTTGTAACTTACCATCGTTTCTTTTCTTTTGTCAGACGAATTTGGCATACCCCACGTGGTGGGATTCACGACGTGGTTCGCGATGTGTCCGCTAAAAGGTTAGCTTGCCAGATGGTTTACACTCGATTCTATTACGAATCTGCACAAAATTCTACTTCTCACTTATTATATTATCTTTCGTCTATACTAAAGTCTCTTCTCTGTCGTCTTTCACGTGTCTCATCACGTAAGCTCGTGATCGACGCGCGGCGAAACTCATATTCCGGTCTCTTGTCGATCCTGCCTCCTATTATTTCAGCTATCTCGATGGAATTGTAATTGTTTTATTGTAATGCACAAGAATTTCAATTATAAGGACACAGCATCATCTAACATTTCTCTGTGTGAACCGAGTGTGTGAACCGAGAATCCCGAACAATCTGGCAAAATTTATGTCGCGTAGAAATTCAAAATTTCGAGATTCAGAACAATTTTTGAATTTTTTTTTATACAGCGTTGATATAAATAGTCAGACATTATCATCTACGAGAAAATGTTACCTTCCATAAATACGTGTCCTTATCGAGAGCGTAAATGTCAACGACACTGTGATAGATAACGCGTCTGACCTATTCTAGCCGTGACTACTGTGCTTGATTCTACCTCTTGAATACTAGATACATCTTGGTCGCTCTCAATACTCACTGAAATTGATTACGGTGGTTAATGCGGTCAATACGAGAAGTGGATTACGGTTACTCAACATGATCTGTATTCTCATTTGCATTAAATGTGGCTGTCTAATTATCGTCTTCCGTTGATATTGAATATCATCCCTTCAGTGTAGGCAAATAACATCAGACAGCGATATTAAATGTACGACGAGAACACGACGGAGAATTTAAATGCGTTTGCAAATGACGGGTGTACTTCCTATCGTACGTGTCGTTACTGCAATTTATCGTGCGTTTTGCGGTCTCATTATCCATTGATCAACATGCACGTCCCTTCGTTGACAACGTAGGACAACGTTTATGATTCCGATCATGAGGCATGGATCTTTCTATGTGATCTTTCTAGGTGCACGTAACTCGATGTAAACCCTGTCTACTGTATATTCATTACTATTGAGCATTTCTAGTTCTCAGTGTTATAATCGACTAATCTCTTTTCAGTATCCTTACTAACGTAGTCCATTCTCCTCGTAACCTGCGAAGAAGCGGAAATAAATAAATAATTTTTGTAATGTACCTGGCGTTTTGCGCGGGATTTTTCCACATAAAAATTGCAGAAACAATTGCATGTATAATTTTCTCCCCGCGGTAACATTGTAATCAGCACGTGTACACGGAATATTCCGGAACCAGACTGTTTGTTCGCACGCAACAATTTCTTCTCGGATTAAATTTTCAGATCGAGATTGAAACGCTGATATAAACGAGGCGGCTGCTTTTAATTTCGATTCATAATTTGTCCCGTTATTGTCAAAGGGTTATATCCGCGATGAGAAATGCAATCGAAAACCGACGATATGTGTGTAAATTAATAGGTTTGTTATACATTTCAAACGATTTCCGAAATCAAAGCGATCGCGATTTAGTACGGCGGATCCTTTATTCCTTCTCGCATCTTCCTCTGTAAATAACATGCGATCCTGGTGTTGTGTTTCATGCTCATTTTTAGTGGAGGAATCGAATTCCGCTCCGGCGATCGCCGGCGCAACAAGTCAGGGCAGTGGAGCAGCGCTGAATGCTGGTAGCCGCTTCCTTGCGATACCCGGCAATCCCGGTAAACCGCTTTTCTGTGCTTGCTTCTCTACTTATACACACCTTCACACTCGCGAGCCGCATTAATCCGTAGTGAAGTTCCGCACACGTATACGTAGATTAATCTGCAGTAGCAATTATTATCCATGCCGTTGACGTGCGCGACAAATGAGAAACCGTTGTTCGAGATCGGGACGGATTGTCATCGGAACGCTGAAAGGCTTAACAAACTTCATTTTCGCTCGCGAGAAATTACCGAAGAGTCCTTACCGTACTGCGGATAACGGTGGCTGACTTGCAAATAGCGCCAGACGTCATTAAGCCTCTTGCCATTTCGTAAAATTGGATTTGATTTTAGATTAGATATAGAAATTAATGATATAAAAGTATTTATTTATTAAACACTTGTTAGAAATTCTTCAAGAATTTAACTTAAAAAACTTTGTAGAAGAAAATAGACGCATTAAATTTAATTATTAGAGAAAATCATATTATGTATTCGTTTCGCCAATGATTAATTAACGAGAAAGACTCTATTTTTATATTCGACAACGTTTGGCTAATGTCGTGACAATTCGACCATTGGTTTTGGTCAGATTAATCGTCAAGACTTTTTCGACCATGGGTTTTGGTCTTTTTAAATTGAAGTAATCTTTGATACTTATATATAAGCAACTCATTTAATTAAATTCGACCATATGGTCTTGACGATTAATCTGACCAAAACCAATGGTCGAATTGTCACGACATTAGCCAAACGTTGTCGAATATAAAAATAAAGTCTTTCTCGTTAATTATTAGATACTATATGTAATCAAAGAATGTTTGATCAAATATTATTAAGCATTCTATTCGCGAAGGACAGTTAGAGGGATATTAAACTGCAAATATATAGAGAAAGTTAGTATTACCTGGGGCGATAAGACTATTGGAGAAATTTACGATAGGGTTATCTTTGCAAAGCGATGCTAGTGATCGTCCTTGACATTTGGCGTAAAAAGGTCAAGTGCTACTTTAAGTAATGGCGCGAGGTTCGATTAAACAAAGTTTATTTGATTCGTTTAATCGAATAAGTCGGTCGATATCGATTATATATGCGCTATGATATAAAAAAAAGAAGATTCAGAAATAATTATTAATAAATTAATGTGACTGGTTATCGCGTAACCAATATATCAGTTCAATATAATCTTAAAATCTGTCCGCATTTTATAATATTGATTATATCTGTTTTTCAATTACGCTTGATTTCCATCAGATAATTAAATAGCTATCAGTAATTAAATAGCTACTCATGCATGACAGGTTTAACTGTCTTTTTAACGAGAATTTGACAATTTGAGTTAATTTGTTTCGCGAGATAGCGTGTTTAATTTACGAAACTTAGAGATAATGTAAAATTGCAACATTATGCTGTAAATAAGATAAAATACTGAATATTGAATTATTAATCATTCGTCATTATAAAAATAAAGAATATTTTTTTTTTATTATTCTATATTATTCTATTTTACAAATTATTGATATTTATACGTTGTTAAAAACATCTATAAATATTCTATTAGTTTTATTTATCATAGAATGGAGTTTTTACTTCTTGATTTTTTAAGAACAAATCTTGAATAATCTGCTTGTTCTCTGAATGGTTTTATATGCGAATTAGTATTTGTTTACAATAAATATAGTTATTATTATTACCGCATCATAATTTGTGATAGAAGTCAGTTTTATATCATATTTTTTAAAACTCGCGTTAATTCTGCCGAAACAAAAGGTTTGTCTTAAGTTTATAAATAAATTTCGCGCTTGTAAATATAAATCAACAACTTTTTGAAAATTTTCTTCGCACACTTCGCCGCCTTCTTATTATTTTGCAAGCATACCACTCGAATTAGCCGCGAGAAAATTCATGAGTTTCCGAAGGGGTGTGATCAGTGACTTTCCTGCGAGATAAGGGCGCGTTCGACCTTTACAATGCTGCGACAGACTGCCTTAAAGCGGGACGTACTGTTCTAATTGCAAAAGCGAATTTGCGCGAATAACACGGAGTGTGAAATTCGAGCTGCACGAAATTGCAATCTGCTTCGTGCGCGCACCTCGGAGGATTAATGACGCACGGGCGGATCCCGAGAGCCATCATTTTCCTCATTGCATGCTACTGACAGAGCTTGTTACTCAAGTCGCGCGTAAAAATGCAGTAGGCAGTAAGCTAGATCTCTTTCAGGCCAAGAACCGGGCAGCAACGGCATGGACCGGAGCCCTAGCAGCGTGTCTATCTGCAGAAATCACAGCTCCTCCGCTTTGGAGAACGGAGACGCTAATCACAAGGTTTGTAAATACATTACCCGAGATCCTTGAGAAATTAGATCCTTCTAGTTTAGTACATTACGGTGACGGCATAATATGATGAACGTTTGTAGCTCAAATTATAATTACCGGATATCTTTGAATTATCGTGAATACAATTAAAAGTAAATCTATACAATGTGGCTACGCACGCACTATATACGGATTACTTTCACAAAAGCTCAACATAATTGTTATAATCATTGGCCTATAATTATCTTCCAATAGTTTTAATATTGGACAAGCGAAACTCGTTTAATTTTCCTAGCAATATCTTTGCTAAACAGGCTTTATTTAAATCCTTCTCCTTTAATGTCGAAATTGATATTTCGTATCGTGGGCAGCTTTATCCGAGAAACTTCAACTTCACTTTCTCATTAGGGTAATACGCACTTTATGAGGAAGATACCACCCGGCGCCGAAGCAAGCAACATACTGGTGGGTGAGGTCGATTTTCTCGACAAGACTTTGTCCGCATTCATTCGGTTAAGCCAGGCTGGAATAATGGGGGACCTGACAGAAGTTCCTGTTCCGACGAGGTTCATCTTTGTTCTCCTGGGGCCCATAGTAAGTTATCGCGATTACGTAGAGGTCGGATTAAATGCGGAAAATGAGTAGTTGAAAATAAGTTATAAACGTCGCGATTTGCTTCAAGCACCATTTCATTGAGATTCATCCATTATCTAGATTCATTATCTACACGGAGAGAATTTTCTCTTAAAATTTACCCTAAAATCATGGTAGTTGTGAGACAACATGTACCATCAAGAATTTTATGTGAGCTATTCTGATTAATATCCACCATAATAAAAAATATTAATATCTATTACATTAAAATATAAAATATGTTTGATTAATTTTACTAAAATATATCTAGGAAATTTCAATAATTTTTCAAAACTTATATATCAATCTGCTCGGTAATTTTTATAACGTTGTTTGTAAAATATCTCTTAATGTATATTTTAAAAATTCCTTGGTTGTCAAGTTGTCCCAAGTTTGTAGTGAATTTAAGGGTAAAATATAATAAAAAATTGTCTCCGTGTAGATTTGCAGAAATTGTTGTGATGAAAGGAGACTTTACCACCCACATGTACCTATGACTACATTTTAATCAGCACGTCCCATATATAAGAAAACGATAAAAAATGTCTTTTGTGTGTTCTGTAATTCCAGTATTTGTAAATCTTTTTAAAATAAGTATACAATCATCGATGTGTATATAAGAGAATAAGTATATATACAAGGGAATATATGTAAATATTAGCAATTTCGGTCATCAAACGCAATTTTTTATGCCTACTAATAATTTTTGTGAATTTTATACTTTGGTTTTACGTCGTTTTTAAAGCACGCGCTGATTATTATTTTATCTTGAAACACAATTTTATGTCAACTCTGAAACAATAATGTCTGTGACATAAATAATGTCAATATTTATTTATCTTACGTACAAATCTTTTTTTCTTGATATTTTTAACTAGAACATTTTTGCAGATTTACCATAGATACAACTCTGTTTCCCTTTTGACGTAGAACTACGTCTTTGTCGATAGTAAGTAGGGCGGGGGTAAATCCAGGAGCACAGATTTAAAGAAAACATGTCACATTTTGAATGTTTATATCTTCGAAACTAATAATCATAGAATAATAAATAAGGTGTCATTTGATAGCTTATAGAGTCCCATTTTCTCTCTAAAGTCTCTCAAGTCTCCAAGAGGAGTTACCAATTTCTATCTTAACAAATCTCCGTGATTGCTCTAATTTCCGTAAATTTTGTGATATCAAGCTGAAATTTGTTTTTATGGATAAAGTGTCATCAAAGGAAGGTTGGGTATTGAATTTGGCGTCAATCGTTGAAAGGGTTACCGATTTATGTCTAAAAAAAAAAAAGTAAAGTTACACATGTAATCTTATATAGAATATCATCAAAGAAAGGTTGGCATTTACTTTGGCGAGAATCGGGGAAGGGGTTACCGATGTCTTCAAGAAATTTATATATACTTAACACTGAGAGGATCCCATATTGACATGAATTTGTCGTCGATCCGGGGATACCGATTTATGCCTAAATAGAGTATAAGTTACACATGTATTCTGGTTTCTATAATATGTATGTACGTATTCCTAGCAAATTCTTACGTATACTGAGGGAAAAATTTTGTTGAATCAACAAAACCATTTTGCTTGGCAACATACAATCTTCCGGTTTTATTAAATCAACAAAACAATTTTGTTGATTTTTTAATTTATTGATCCAATTATTTATTTTATTGAATTAAGTACACGTCTATTATTTGAACAAAATGAAATAATTTAATTCTGAAAATGGTATCATACAAAATCATTTTTTTTCAAGTTAATGATCAATTTTGTTAACTCAATAAAATAATTTTGTTGAACCAAGAACATTAACGTTTTTAAAAATAGTAAATTTATTCAAAGAAATATTTAGTTAATGTTATATTATGTATAATTGATAGTATAAAATATTTAGTTAAAAAGAACAAATCAATATAGTCAACAAACAAAATAGTCAAAAAGAACAAAAGAACAAAATATTTTGTACAAATATTTTGTTAAGCCAATCAAATCATCTGCTAGGCAACATACAATCTTCCGGCTTTATTAAATCAACAAAAATTTTTTTGATAAAAATAATTATTTCTCTATGTAACTCAAGAACTAATCAACCAAATTTTAAAGATTTATATATGAAATAGGGGTAGAGAAGATTGAAGAACATAATAAAATTAGAAAAAAATTGCCAATATAATAAAAATCAAACGGGTACAGTAACAACTGTGCTGCAATTGGTTGCAACACAGTTGTTACTGTGCCCGTTTGATTTTTATTATATTGGCAAATTTTTTTTTATTTAGATAAATTGAAATCCGTAAATTGAGTTGCAATTGAAGATTAAAGGCAAATATCTTTTTATAGCAAAAAAAAAAACAAGCTTTTTACTATTTTTGTTTCTTTCAAAAAATTAATAATTCGTTTTTTCGGAACGCTATATGCATTTGAAAGTGTCGGATGATTCCTAAGGAGATTATTATATTAAAAAAAAGTTCGAAAAATGTAAAAAAGTATGACATATGCGGATATTTTCACGTTGTTCGAAATATTAGAACAACAGAATCAACATAACGCAATAAATTGGAATTCCTAACTATAGTGGAAATTCTCTGAAATAAAATTGCTATACCTATATTTATATATAAATGCGGCAGTAATTATTAACGAATTATTTGAAGTACGTCGCTTTGAATCGTCAATTATCTGCACAATATAATATAAATCAATATCTCTACCATTCGGCTATTCCAGTAATATCAACGACTTATCACGGGCAATCATTTTCTATATTTAATCTCGAACAAGTGAGATCTAAAAAAAGAATGTATCTAGTTCGAATCGCTTCGGAACCACTTGCGCAAGGTCCTCTCTTCGCATTTATGTGTATGCACATCTATCTAAATATCAATTTAAGATTTGAGAAGGCCATCACTGCCTCACAACGGGACAATTAAACCTTTAATAAGCAGTCATGCATGCTGATTGCGTCTGCTGACTATTGTCTCGAGGGATCTATACGTAAAGTAACAAAGAGTTTTTTTTTCACACGAATACAATTTAAGTATGCAATTGCGAGCTTATTGTATTTTAACATTTAACGTCACTCTTCACAAATGGTTCTTTTCATTAGGCATGTCCATTTTTAAATTTAAATACTGTTATCATTCTAATAATAATAAAAAAATTATGAAAATTTATAAACAAATTTTGGAAAAGTGTTAATTAATATTACAAAAAATTTAATCCTGAAATAATATTTAAATATCAAAATTATTTAAAGACTATTATTATATCTTTTAACTGATTCACAAGTATGCAGTTTAATTAAAGTAATATCAGTCTATCTAATAATCTCATTATTATATAAACTATTTATATCATTTTTACGCACGTATACATAAGAAACTATTCTGTATAAATCCATTAGCATTAAATCGAATTTTAATGACGTTTTTCTTTTTAAAAATGAATTGCTTACGTCATCAGTTCTTAGACTCTATATAATCTCTCTGCGATAAAAAATATTTATCGATAAACAGGGACACTAGTTTATTTTCGTGCGTTACACGTGGCTGATAATCTCACAAGTTTTTACAAAGCCTTCGCTTATCACCTCATCTTACGTTATTCTGTATTAAGTAATTGTTCGCAATAAGTTATGCAATAATTACCTTAAGTTAATAGTTAATGCGCCATTTTATGACGTTATTATAATTTCGAAATATTCAAAATAAATCGTTAAAGTAAAGTACGATGAAAGATATCTGAAAAGAGTATATGAAAAAAATAACGATATTAAAATTATATAAAACGATACATACAAATATATCAGCATTTATATAATTGATATAATTCCTAAACATTGGACAATACGACAAAGTTATATAATACTCCGCATTGCGGGTTGCTTTTAGGGTGGGATTTCGGGTTTTCACGAGATCGGTCGAGCCATGGCGACTTTGATGTCCGACGAAGTCTTCCACGACGTGGCTTACAAAGCAAAAAATAGAAATCATCTCTTAGCTGGTATTGACGAGTTCCTAGACGCCGTGACGGTATTACCACCCGGTGAATGGGATCCCGCAATTAGAATAGAACCGCCAGCCGCTATACCGTCGCAGGTGAGGATAGTCTTATAATAGGAATCGAAAGCGATATAATTTTTATGAGATCGGATCTCGATATTACGTAAATGAGCGAAAATAATCTCTATCTTTATCGGCGATCACGAAAGCACGTGACAAGTAAAATTCTCTTTTTGTGTATATCCATAGTTAATTAAAAATCATCAAAATTATATCGATTTTAATGTCTTGTTTTAAAATATATTAAGTTTAGAAAGTATTCGCCACTTCAATCGCAGCTTGGTTTGCCGTTCTCAGGAAGTCAGAAAGAGGCCCAAGGAGGAAAAGCCTAAGGAAGAGTTCGATGAGGAAGCTGACGAACAAAAGCTAAGGGAGGAATCCGGCCTTTCCAGATCCGGTAGACTGTTCGGCGGTCTGATCAACGACGTTAAGAGGAAAGCTCCGTTTTACGTTTCCGACTTCAAGGAAGCCCTCGCGCTTCAATGCGTCGCGTCTTTCATTTTCCTATATTTCGCCTGCTTGTCGCCCATTATTACTTTCGGCGGTCTCCTCAGCGAAGCAACCGGCAAGAATATGGCCGCTATGGAATCGTTGGTTTCTGGTTTCGTCTGCGGCATAGGATATGGATTTTTCTCTGGTCAGCCATTGACTATACTCGGTTCCACGGGTCCGGTGCTGGTTTTCGAGACGATCGTCTACGAATTTTGCAAGTGAGTCTCGATAAAAATCTATCTGCGTTTTAACCAGCTTCTATAGCAACATTTTTTCTAGACTGCTTTCTGTAATTAGGAGTCTTTATATTGTAACTTTATGAAGCTAAAGTTGACAAGCGTATAAAATATTCATTCTTGCTATAGACATTTATTAACATTTTCTTTCTTCAAGATAATCTAATTAGATCGTTATTCTTTTTGCAGGAAGGTTGATTGGGATTACATGTCATTCCGTTTCTGGATCGGTACATGGATCGCCGTGATTCTGATGATCCTCGTGGCTCTGGACGCAAGTGCTTGCGTTTGTTATATCACTCGATTTACGGAGGAAAATTTTGCCACCCTCATCGCCTTCATTTTTATCTATAAGGTAAGAAAATTCGTACTGTTGTCCAGCAAGATGTATACCTAGTGAATTTATTAAGTTTTTCTATCAATTCTTTTCATCGTTTAGCGTTTTAAAAAACGTATTATTTGATAATAACATATATTTAACATAGATCGAGTTTTTGATATTTTTAATATTGTTACCTATTTAATATTTCTATATATGTTAAGTGTATCAGTACATTCTAGGCTATCGAAAATGTGCTGTCGATCGGCAAGAAATATCCCTTAAACAGCTATCCTAGCGGAACACTAGACTACGAGTGCTGGTGCAAACCACCGAATACCAGTCTGCCATCCAGTTATGACAATATGAATTGGACGACATTGGATAAAACAGCTTGCGAGGTAATGATATAATACGCGAGAAATCAAGAATGCGACAATTACTTACAATTAAGAAGACAATAAACGGTTGCACACACCTCGAGATCTGGATTTCACTAAAGCGCATCAATATATGGCTATATTATGAGATTATCAAAGCAACTTTTATTTAACTATTCATACAATCTCGTGTCATAACAAAAATTGCAATCCCTATTTGAATATCAACTCGCGAATCACTTTCACGTGTTTGATAAGAAACATCGAGTACACAAACCTATCATTACGCTCAATCGCAACACTCAAACACGCGTATCTATACTTCTTGTTTCTTCTTATATCTTCTTGAGAAATTACAGAGAAGCAAACTATATTAACTAGATTACTAGGTGTTGTCCTGAATTTGCAAGAAAATGTGATCTTGCAATCCAATTCGCTTCATGCCGTATTCGTTATTGCTCCTTTCAGAATTACAATGGCACTATGGTGGGAGATGGCTGCAACATACCGCATTATGTACCCAACGTGTTCCTTATGTCAATTATCCTATTCATGGGCACGTTCTTGCTATCGGTAGAGCTCAAGGATTTCAAGAACGCTTTATTCTTTCCCTCAAAGGTATGCTTTAATTAAAGGAGAAGGTACAAGACTAATTTTATTTTCCTTGGGGATAAAGATTGATGAAGTCATAAGACTGCTACTCGTAAAATTGTTATATTCAATAAAGATATATTATAAATATCTTTTTATTTTTATTAAGAACTCAATAATTTAGGAAATCTTATTGTATCTTATATCTATCACGCAATTCTCTTTATTGATATTCCTATGTTCCTTTAGGTGAGACAAGTGGTGAGCGATTTTGCAGTAATAATCGCGATATTCTCTATGAGTACATTGGATCATTTCGTGGGCATTCCAACGCCGAAATTGGAAGTGCCGGCGGAGTTCAAGCCAACATTGGACGGACGAGGATGGATAATCTGGCCTTTTCAAAGGAATCCGTGGTGGAGTGCTGTCGGGGCATGTCTCCCCGCTTTACTGGGCACTATATTGATCTTCATGGATCAGCAAATCACGGCTGTTATTGTTAATAGAAAAGAGAACAAGTTGAAGGTGAGCACTTGATGCTTCACCGGTTACGGTATCTCAGCGGTTACGGCTTTATCTATTCTCGTCAACGAATGTCACATGCTTTGAATGCGAAAAAGAGTACACTGCTTCATAATTACAGTGATTAATAGTTTACAATAACTCAGCAATAAACATTTATACCAATGATTTTATTGATGCTTTTCCAGAAAGGATGCGGGTATCACCTGGACCTCTTTGTCCTGGCGATCCTGATCGAGATATGCTCGGTGATGGGACTTCCATGGTTCGTCGCAGCGACAGTCCTCTCCATAAATCACGTGAATTCGTTGAAGTTGGAGTCCGAGTGCGCCGCGCCGGGAGAGAAGCCGCATTTTTTAGGTGTCCGCGAGCAGAGAGTTACTCACATACTGATTTTCCTAATGATTGGATGCTCGGTGCTCCTAACACCGATGCTGAGGAACATACCGATGCCGGTGCTGTTCGGTGTCTTCTTGTACATGGGCGTCGCTTCGCTGAAGGGTCTTCAATTCTTCGATAGGATTCTGATAATGTTGATGCCGGTTAAATATCAGCCGGACTATATGTTTCTTCGTCAGGTAAGCAAATAATTCCGATGCCTTGCTATCTTCAAAGTAGTTTCAAAACGCATTTATTCTAAATTTTTTGTGGGAAATAAAATATATTACCTATAATAAATATTTCAAAACTTTTTTTTTAATTTTATATAATTTTTATTGTTCTGAAGCTATCGTATTTCCAATATTTGAAGCAAGTCTGTATCTTTAGGTGCCGTTGAAACGCGTACACATGTTCACTGCGATTCAGCTTACTTGCCTCGCCTGCCTGTGGCTCATAAAATCCTTCAGCCATACTTCTATTTTGTTTCCTTTAATGGTGAGTAATTAATCTAAAAATCCCTCGACGAGTTATTTATAATTTAATAACATTTGTAACTTTCTTGAACTATTAATTTGGATTTGATGAATATAAAAATTACGATTTACATTAAAACGGAAGTATAAAATTGTTCCTTTTAAGATATTTGCAAAAAAATTCTACAAAAAATCAATCAATTGCCTTATTTAATATAATAAATTATTTACAAATTAAATTAAATCATTAATATGTGAAGATTATAACTTTACTTAAAAAATCAGTAGATATGTTTCTCAATAAAATTATCTCACACATAATTAGACGTAATATTAAATTTTCATTGTAATGGTCGTAAAGCCGAAAGTTAATTAATCTCAGAATTGACGTATTTTGGGAAAACAAAGTGACATATTTTTTCAAGGATATTATAATTATAATTTATTATAATTTTTGTGTAAAATTTTGCAGCTCGTGGTAATGATCGGCATACGCAAATCCCTGGATTTCATGTTTACGCAACGCGAGTTGAAAATACTCGACGACATAATGCCGGAACCGAGCAAGAAACACGCCGAAGAACTTCGTAAGCTGGAGAACGGCGAGGTTAGCACCGCGACACGAATATTAAACGCCATCACCTGTCGCAAATAGCATATAGACGGTGATCGCGTGGCGAATGCTCGCCCCGTGGTCACCATAACTCTCTCCGATTTTGGGGAATCCGCCCTTTGCAGAAGGAACGATGTATACTACGACGAATGATCGGACGAATGTCACCTAAAACGAATTAGTTTTTTTCGTCGCTGCGCGGAACAGATTCGAGTAAAGATATAGGATCTCCGAATACGAGGCTAGAATATAATTTAATTTAAAGCGCATAATTATACATACGCCGGATAATTTAAGAATGCCAAGACTCGGCCTTTAATAATTTAAAAGAAGAAAAAAAGTACGGACGGACCAATAATTTCTACGCCAAAAACGCACACTTTTTACTGTTTCGTCGAAACAACACTTTACTCCTTTTTGCGGTCAAAAAATTTTTTTTATTTTTCGCAAAGGACATTTAGCCGCCTGAATACACTAGGATGACGAGAATGGTACATAAAGCATTCCGAAAACGCATACACGGACTGTCTTCAGTTCGTAGAAATTTTTTGAAACGCGAATTGAAATTTGCCATTTTCTACAAATAATACATTGTTGCCACTTTCTGGAAATAATATATTACTCCGAACATTTACGCGGTAAAATATACCTATATATTTTTTTTCAACGAACCAAGATCCCGGCCTCGAAAGCCATTCTCTCGTCTTCCACTCGGACCATGTGCCAAACAACTCTTATATTCTCAAATCCAGGTGGTATACCGACCGACCAGTATTAAAGTAAATGTAATGATAATTGTTGTTGAATTTTTGAACACGGTAGACTTTTGGATACCACAATCTTAAACGTTTTTATCGATAGCATCGTTGTTGTAGCGAGATTAGAGTAATGTGTTAAGTGTTGATCGTTTTTGCGAGCGCTGCGAACACATCGACGGCTACCCCAAAATTTTATTTTGTGCAACACTTCGCTCCGGATTATTAATTATTCTTCAATGGTGAACCACGCGCCTTGAATCTTTATCGGTGTCTTTTATCGATGTGTGACACTTTGATGGGATTATATATAATTACCTTTGTTTTACATATATATTATTAGGCGAATTTAAGATAGAGATAAGAAAATACAGTCTTCTCTTCGTTATTACACTGTAATATAATTGAAATTGAACAATACTCTGAAGGGTATAATAGTTACGAGCATAGTCGCGCGCGCGTATTAAGCACGACGTTGCAAATCATTAACAGTAGTTAAGGGAAATTATTGTTGCAAGGTGAGAAATATTGTACCGTTTTTGTTTGTACATTCAAATAAATTAATGTAGCACTTCTTCTATATAATTTATACATTCCAACATTACGCCAAACAAATGGCTGCTTGTAATAAAATCATGATCAGTTCACCATGGGAGAGTATATACGTTCGCTGCATTGCGAATTTTTCAATATACTCATAGTTAATCGACTACTAAATGGAAAGTAGGTTGCTTATTATCCAAATGATATACCAACGAAGATATTCATCGAGAGTAGCGATCGACACACCGCGATCGATATTCGCGACTTGGCGAAACGAAGTATCTGTTGCATTTAATACATCGCCGTGTTGCTGATATCCTCCTCTGTGAACCATTCGAGACTTTTGTATATCAATTTAATGCGCCGTCGTACACACAATTCACTTATCTTATCATGTAAAAATACATTATTGTTTCGAAACACACGAAACCTCTTTATAATTCCAACATCTCCTAACACGATTAACGGATTCATGTGTTTATTATATGTTCGCCTGAGAGCTTTACTTATCTCTCACAACAGTCAAGATGGTCGAGATTGTCCAATTGTCCAAAAAATTATTATTAAATAAAAAATTCATAATGACATTATACAAGGATGAAAGGAGAACGCGAAGTACACTATAATATTTAATAACAATATAGCTTAATGTTTTGTAATAATTAATACTAAATTTACTTATACGTGTTATAAAATTCTTCTTTTTGCTATATTGTACTGCTTCAATCGTTTTTATTTGGGTTGCATGTTTTATTTTATTTTTATAATGTACATACAAGTTTAATACACGTACAAGAATCTTAATAATTGCTAAACTGCAAAAATAACAAATTACATTTTTATTATGCAAAATTCATTACTGAGAAAGATTTAATTGTTACTTTTCGAATTTTTTTCTTGTTAATTTATGCCAAAAATAAATGACAACAAAGAAACAAAAATTTTTTGTAACTTTATGAAAACAAAAATAAGTACAAATTTGATATGTATAAAACGGTGTAATTATTATTATGTATAATTTTACGCATAAAATACGATAGAATAATATCAAGATAAAAGGAACATAATATTTTTTTGATTATCTTAATGCGAGCGATTAAGTGAGGCGTCGCACCGTGTAACAGCCGAGCCGACAACGTGCGTTCGTTATTAACAATGCAATTAAAGACAGAATAACTGAGCGGAAGCACACCATGACTCACGGAGGAGAGTGACGATTCAGCGAAAGAAAATGAGAGAGAAAGAGAGAGAGAGCGGCTGAAAGAAATCACACGAGCCGGACAAACACGGAGATATCAATACGGAAATCGCAAACGAAAAAAATGCCAGTCGTCGAATCCTCCGCCTGTCATCGGTACGTCACCATAAGTGCACGTCCGTAGCATTTCGCCGCATTATATTCGCCGACAGTCATGTTCTTTTCGCAAACGAATGATTCAGCGAACATCCTACGCCCGTTTGTAATCGAAGATACTTTTCGGTGAGCGAACGCGACGATGCACTATGCGAGATAGATGCGATTTCAATGATGATCATGCGTCATTAAACTGATTGCAATAACAGCATGTTATTTTCCTGGCAAATTACGTGGCGATAGCAAGAATATATTGCAGTTTACATTTACAGTTGAGAGTCAAAACGAACGTGTGAATATAATTGCACGATGTTTAATAACTAAATTATTAAAAAGAATATTGACAAATATGTTAAAATAACCAAATGTGCCTTCGCACATTTGTATTTTTATTCTCATGTACATACAAATTTGATATTACCGCTAATACCGCCTCAAAAGCTTACAAACATCAATATAAATCACTATCAATTGATATTACTGTTACGTGCGGATAATACAATACAAAATATTGTACTGATTATAACTCTCAAGGTGAACAGACTGAACAGAATTGTTATTTATAAAAATTATTTTTTCTCCCTGAAAAAAGTAATACGAAACTGCCAACATAATTCTAACCGTCATCACGGGCTCGTCGCACTAATTTTTCCATTGTGCATTCTTCTCTTATGCAATTAGAATTATCTACACGTCAAGTCACATACCCTTGTAAATTTATTCATAGCGTTACGTGAAGCCTCTCTGACCGATCGTTATTACTTCCTCGTATACATCCAATTTATTGGCCGCGTATAATTGACCGACTCGTGAAATACATGCTGGCAAGCAACGTATCACGCCTGCTTCTCAGCAATTCGAAGGCAGCGCAAAGTTCGCTTGAATTTATGCATGGCCTGATAGAAATTCATCGCGCATCAAGGTTGAGATTCAAACTCTTGTTTCATTCATCCTGCAGGATCATCAAAACGAAACGATGGAATATGGACCCCCGGGAAATATTCAGATCTCTTTGGCAAATGGGAACATCATGAAGATTCCACTGGCGAGTATCAATATCAGCGAGGAGGTGAACAAAACTGGTATCTGGCAACAAGTCAACGAGTGCAATGAAAAAACGAAACAGTCAAAGTCACTAATCAAGTAAGTATTGAATTTTCAACAATTTTCTGCATTTTTGCAGAAATTATATGTATAAAAATAAGACATACAAATGGAATAATTGAAATTGTTGATTAAATACAACAAATTTGCCAGTAACTTCCGATTGATAAAATTAACATAGTCATTTTTTAATAACTTTTTACGATTATTAATTTTATCATTTGACAATTATAGTGCTATCTTCCTATTTATATCTATTTTATTTTATTTGTAATAATAATAAATACTTTTTACATAACATTGTGTATCTTATATATTTTTTACGTATTATTTTTGTATTTTATTATATTTTTATATTTATTATATTTTTATATATTTATATATCTGATTTTTCTAAAGTACATGAAGGAATTTTTTACAAGAAAGCTTCTTCAAGACTGGTGATTCATCAGTGATGGAACAACCTTACTTATGTATTTATAGAAGCTCATCGCAAATTCCGTTCATGTAAAGTATTGTGATTGTATAGAATCAAAACGTTACGACGACTGGAAACAAATAGACAATCGTTAAACTATAATCAAACGTTCCTTAGTCAATTTAGTTGAAGAACTTGAGCATAATTTAAAATCAACGTGATTAATTACAATAGTAGCATGATTAGACATTTGTTGGGACATTTGTAGAATTTAGCTTTCTAACATAGAATCCAATATTATTTTAATAATAAATTAATATTATAATATTATATATTACTAAATTGTAATAAAGTAATTTCAAGCACGTATTAAAAACACGGCCAGTTTTGTTCACTAGCCTTATCCTCTTGTGTTTAATTATGAAAACTTGGTAATGTTTACTATTACATATTAATATTGTAAACTTTCTTATAAAATATAAAAGACTAAAACGTAAAAAAAATATTCTATTATTAAAATTTTGTTAAAATTTTTTTAATAATTACTACAATATTGATAGTTTTCGAATAAAAAGAGAAAAGATTAATGTGAATATCAACTTCTAATTGATATTGTCTAGTTTTTAAAACTGATTAAGTTTGTAATTGTCTAACGCAGTGTGGGAAAGCAAAAAAAGCATCCGAAGAAGGATAACTCGTTGCTGGCGGACGAGACGACGAGGCTGACGACGATGACCGAAGAGGACGAGGATGACAGTGGGATCTCGATCAAGGTGACACACGTAAATGATTCTAAATTCTAACTACCATCACCATCACCAAAAAAACCGACAATTTATATGGCAAGTCACACAGCAAGAGCACCAATATACCGGCATGCAACATATCCCATGCACCGCTGCTGTGAGTAAACTTACAAACGAGGATAGCATGACAATCCTCGTCGACTTGACGTAAAAAGCAAATGACGCGGACGACTTATAGAAAACATGGATTTTCGTAGACGAGAATTATGCTCTTAGGTATTACGTAACGACGGCGATAACAGCATTTAAGTATATTAAATACACGAAAGTATTAAAAATACACATTAAGTATACAAAATATTAATTCACGATTACACAGAATTTCGTGGCAATTTTTATTGCAAGTTTTTATTTTACTACAAATTTACAAATGGTAAATACTATTGTAATTATGCGAAGTATTCGAGAAGATATAAGAAAGAAATACTTTTTTAGTTTATTATTGTTATAAGAATCTGTCTGTTATGATTAATCACGTCTTTTTCTTCACATAGCAATGTAATCGTCTATGAGACTCAACTTTGCAACTCTTGCTTATGTTCTTAGAAATGCTACGTACGTAGCTCGTGGTTAATGTAAACTTAAACAACGAAATAATTAAACGACCTGAGAAAAGACGTTACATATAGTAAGGTCTAATTCAATTCATCTATTTACTTTTCGTCTTTGTATTACTTATTCTCCTGTTTCAAGTGACTAACTTTTTAAAATATAGGTAAATATGCATAAAAGGTCGAACCTTACCGATGACCTTGACCTTGACATATGTTGTCAAGGTCACCCTCCTGAGTGACCTTCAGAAGGTTTTAGCCGGCGGTCATTGTTCATTAAAAAGTTATAAACAAAAAAAGGTTAAAAAATATAACAGTTATTTTAAGTACTAATAGACATAAATAATAATTGATATTTATGTGGAAATAGTATATATATGAACGAAGGAAAATTATTTAAAGCAGTGAATTGTTGATATATTGAAAGGAAAGTTATTTAAAGTAGAGAATAGAGAGTATGTACTTTTAAAGCGCGTCAACTAACCTATGTAGGTAAGTGACGCGCTTTAAAAGTATTTAAGTGTTTAAAGCGCGTCAACTAATCTATGTAGACGCGACGTCACTAATCTATACGCCGAAGACGTGTCCTAAAATCAGTGAGGAGGCCCTCCCCCGCCTATTTGTGTACTGTTTATACACATGTGTATAATACATGTATATAGTACATGTGTATAAACAGTACACACATAGGCGACGGAGGGGCTCCGCCGCAGGCTTCCCCCGCATAATAAAACTAAACAAACTCCCAGCGTGATACCTAACTGCTTGAATCATCTGTGTGAATATTTGTATCGATATACAATAAAAAAGCTTGTAAAGCGCGAACCCATGTGACAACTCGTCTCGCGTGAAAAGTGTATGTGTGAACTATTTCGACGTATATATTAATCATTTGTCTTCCAATACTCAAAATAGCTGCCATATTTTTCAACCTTTTTTTGTTTATAACTTTTTAATAAACAATGACCGCCGGCTAAAATCTTCTAAAGGTCACTCAGGAGGGTGACCTTGACAACATATGTCAAGGTCAAGATCATCGGTGAGGTTCGACTTTTTATGCATATTTACCAAAATATATTGTATGTGATTTTTCACAGTGATAAAAGTAATAACTATGCATCTTAAATAATTGGAAAAATGTGAAGTATAATATACAAATTTACGAAAAAACAGGACTGATACAATGTTTTTTTATTTCGTAAAATAATGAGCTTTGTGTAAAATGAGATGGAAATATCTAATTGCATGTTTCTTTTTTGCTTTTAATATTAGTTACTTTTTACCGTTGCATGAGCATTAAAAATTTACCTTTTTTTGTTGTATTAATTGATAAGATGCATAGCATATATTAAAAATATATTAAATTATTTAAAAAATTGTTATTAAGATTAGTCAATAATAGGATGTAATTCTACACATAAATAAAAAAAATGATGTCATCTTAAGTCACCATGAAAGATGACACAAGCACATAAAAAAAAATTGGTTGGTCGCTAGACTACACCACCATACCTATATGTTTTTGGGATCGCTGAATCCAAATCCGTTGTCCGTTTTACCCCATCACGTCAGGTTTCGTCCCTAACCTCAAAAAATATCTCAGAATCGCTAAAACGGTTCTTTTCATGTTAAGAAATAAAGCATGACCACCATATTTATGTTTTCGGGATCGCTGAATCCAAATCTGTTGTCCGTTTTACTCCATCACGTCAGGTTTCGTCTCTAACCTCAAAAAATATCTCAGGATCGCTAAAACGGTTCTTTTCATGTTGAGAAATAAAGCTACCATATTTATATGTTTTTGGGATCGCTAAATCCGAATCCGTTGTCTAAACGCCATCACGTCACTATTTGCCCCTAACCTAAAAAAATACCTCAAAATTTTTTTACGTTTGACTCCCTTTTGTAACTTTAGTCTCTCTGAGTAATGGGTTTATTCCAAATAAACGAAAACTAATGAAGTATCCCATTTTCAAGTTTCAAGCTTCTTTACTAAATTCCCAGCAAACACAATGCAACATGTAACAGGTTAGTTGTAATTTTCTACTCAACAATATAAATACAATATAACACACCTGTTATATTTGGAATAAATCCATTACTCAAAGAGACTAAAGTTACAAAAGGGAGTCAGACGTAAAAGAATTTTGAGGTATTTTTTTTAGGTTAGGGGCAAATGGTGACGTGATGGCGTTTAGTAGGCAACGGATTTAGCGATCCCAAATATGGTAGTTATTTTATTTCTCAACATGAAAAGAACCGTTTTAGCGATTCTGAGATATTTTTTGAGGTTAGGAACGACCTGACATGATGGAGTAAAACGGACAACGGATTTGGATTCAGCGATCCCAAAAACATATAAATATGGTGGTCATGCTTTATTTCTCAACATGAAAAGAACCGTTTTAGCGATTCTGAAATATTTTTTTAGGTTAGGGACAAAACCTGACGTGATGGGGTAAAACGGACAACGGATTTGAATTCAGCGATCCCGAAAACATATAGGTATGGTGGTGTAGTCTAGCGAACAACCAACTTTTTTTTTTGGTGTGCCTGTGTGATTTTTGAAAGGTATAGCATATATATCTTTATCATATAGTGTACGTATGTTCTTTATAGAGAAGCGGGGGGTAACCACGGACATTATTGAAATTCAATACCGCGTATCTATGGCCATTGTTTAAACATTCTGCATATGTCGAGATACGCAAAAGGGCATATTAGAATGTTTAAACAATGGCCATAAATACGCGGTATATACTTGAATTTCAATAATGTCCGGGGGGCTATCTCCCGTTCCCCTACAGATATTTACTTAAATGTGTAATATATATACAATACATATATTGAATATAAAATATCTACAACAGAGGAGACCGAGGCAAACTCGATACAATTTTCTCAAAAACAATTTACAACATTTAATTAAAATTTTTAAGCGAATTCAATGGTACACATTTAAAGAGTGTTCCTTCAGGTTCAAAATTGCTTCAGGAAGTTTTGCTGTACGTCGCTTAGTTTTGCCCCCAGGAAAAGAAAAATGACGCAAAGACAAATTTTCAAATTAAAAAATGTCGGGGCAAACTCGACACTTCGTCTGATCGACACAATTTCATCTAAAACTTATTTTTTGTCTGAAAATAAAAATATATTGTTTATCGTGTATCTAGAAAGTACAAAAATTCGGAATTAAGTAAAACAATCATTGGAAATAATGAGGTAAAAAATGTTGAATTTTTACAATTATCATATCTAACCTTATGTCTAAAAAACAATTAATAAAGAAAAATTGCGATCGGACGTGCGCACACATTTGTCATGAGCTATACAGCTGCATGACAATCATTGTTTGTTATTAAGAGCTGACAAAACGATGTGGTGTCAACTTTGCCCCGGACGTCATTTTCCACTTTTGTCCAAAACCATAAAAATTTTTTAAATATGCAAAAACGAGTATCGAATTCGTATAAAGAAACAAACTTTTCACCATCAAAAACGCTTATGTCGCATTAAAAATTACACCATAACTCTGAATGCCACCAAATTCCGGTGACAATATTGGCACATAAAGACGCATTTACAGTTACGAAAGGCAAGTTTCTACGATATAGATTTAAATTGGCAAGAAGCCTGGTGTCAAGTTCGTCCTGATGTCGAGTTTGCCCCGGTCTCCCCTACTACTTCATGTTTATTAAATATATTGTTCTCATAAAATTATTATTTATAATAAAATAGAAAAAGATTATTATTTAAATAAAATAGAATGTTATAAAAAATAATGTTAAAGCATCTATATTTCTTTATAATTATATGACGTTTATTTGAATTTATATGAATTATAATTATGTAAGATTCTAAATCTTTAGATAATTTATGAAATTCTAATCAATAAACGCAATTCAATTTTTGATCTTGCTTTTTTTTAAAGAAAGCATATTAAAACAAATTTTAAAGACTAACTTGAAAAGAAATTAATAAATACTTCGATTCGATATTTCAGGTAGATTTAATACGATCCAAGGAAAGCATCAGTCCTTTAAAAGCAAATGGTACTACCTCAGCAGAAACTTCCGTTTAATAAGAAGACAACAGATGTAAACATATATTAATGAAGTACACAAGTTTTTTTAATCGATAGTTTCAAAACTTTCATCTTTACAGTTTTCATGCAATTTCTATTTTTATTTTACGAAATATCATTTAAACAACATAAAAGTCACAGATCATGCTATTTAATTTTCTGAAAACCTATATTCTTCTGCAAAGAATAATGTCCACTTCTATCATTTATCTATTATTTTTAATTGTATTATATTTGTACCATATTTGACAAACAATGTGCGTCACTCTTCGCGAGTACTCTGCAATTTATACTCAACTAAATGAGATCTACCATACATAGTCTCAATGTATTTGTACATAGAAACAATTCAACAAGATTCGCCAATAGTATCCAATTGTGATTTCATGAAACCTCATCTTTCATCTCCGATAAGATAATGTTGTTACAAAACAGTCTATTTTAGTAGTTATTCATTCAATAATAAATTCTACTTCGTTAATATTGTATGTGAATTGCAAGGAACAGCGAGAAACGAAAAGAGAAACGGAAGAAAGAAATTCCAAATAATTCGAAAAAATGTTTCGAAATAATAAAGGTAGTAGATACATGTTTTTACGTTTAAGTGAGTGTAACGACGGCAAGTAAAATATTAGGTGAAATTTAAAAAGATCTCCTATAGGGGAGAGTTGGATATTATCGAGCCGCTAAGAACTGAAGCGTATATCTAAGCTCAGAAATGCTTCAAAGAAACAAAATGTGCAGTTTTAGATAGGCAATTTATTTATCCATATATATCATAGCAATAATGTTGAAAGTTAAACACAAACTGAAATATTAACAATTTTTCAAAAAATGAGAAAACGCGGTATTACCGAACTGGTCTGATAATATCGTGCCTATAAAAATTACTCTGGCTTCAGCCAGTGACATGAAGTAGAACACAATAACAAAATGTTTTTTTTTTATATTTAAGCATTAATATTGTCTAGTAGGTATGTACCTAAATATAAAAATAAGTGAATGTGTTAACAAATAACGATCATTATAAATTCAAATCAAAACTTAAGCAACGATGTAAGGTGCTTTTCTGTAAGCACCTTACATTGTAAACTAAAAAGTCTTGGTAACTCTTAACACACAGTTATCGTTATACCTATTGTCTATGAATTGCAAAAACAACTTTAAAATTTTATCAGTCTCCAAAATTCAATCAGTCTCAAAATTTCAACTTTGGGCGCGAAATTATCAAACTTAATTATTTCACTTTACAACCTTAAAATATATAGAAAAAAAACGCGTGTTTCTAAAATCATTTTGGAACCTAATTTTATAGTGTTCAACCTATCAAATCCATCAAGTTTATTTCTCTAATGTAAATATTATGTTACTCACCTCTTATCGAAACTACCAGCAAAATTGCAACGAATAAGCAGAGAAGCTTCCAGAGCGCACTGTGTTTACATGGACGGCCGAAACGTATTGACGGCATTTGCGGGTGGGGTACTTATTTCGTGTTACTCTATGATATTAACATCATTGTAGGCGCGTAATATAAATAGTTATTGAGTTAAACAATGGCGCGGAATTGTCAACCGCGCGGTAATATCCAACTCTCCCCTACTGCTATGCATCTTCTTTAGAATGTTTAGATTGACAACATCTATTGACTTATGTCAATAAGACAAGTTTATGCTAGAGTCAATAAGAACATGTTTATGCTAGAAATTTGTGAAAAACGCACATTTTTCCAAATCGTGATGTGACACCGAACGAATATATACATGGCATTTATAAAACACGTGTGCGAACTGCAAAGTAATAAAATTCGAGTTTTCACAGAAAATTACTCTCGCGAGTTACTCAAGCTTCAACGCATTCAAATATTTGAATAATTAATACCGATAATTTACACTCTTATAGATATGTATGAAATAATATAATAGAAAAATAATAGAATAATAATATAATATCGCGCAGATGTTTAAATACCGTGAGCCAAATATCCGAATGTGTGCGCAATTGTAATTATTCGAATATTTGAGCATTGTCAGCTGTAATTTTAAGTTCATCGTATATGTCAAATTCTGATTTATACGAATCATAGAGAAATAAGCAAAGTCATACTCAATACAAGAATTGTGTTATCGTGCAATAATGTATGACTCTGCATGTAGCAATTAAATAGTTTGGGTAACTTTATAATCATACTATGTATGCCAAAGAAACCCCGCAATATGTAATGCGTATATCAATATTTCCTTCGAGGGATATCTTATACGTTATTGCCAGCAAGCGTTGCTAAATAGCGGTTGCGTATCAAGCAGGTAGCATATTTGACTAATATTATTTATTAAGAAAATTGCACTTTATAGGTATTTTTTATTTATTCTCTCTAATAATATTAATACGATATCTTGAGGGACAAAAACTGTAGGAGTTATTTTGTGTCCTAAGAACAGAAAAGAGGAGGAAATGTTATATGTATAGATAATTTTTTTTTATCCTCAAATGATAGAATAACATTAACTTTTCTGATTTCGAAAAATACTATTATCTTGAAAATTTTGCGAAAGCGGCCTTTTAACACAGATCTGTGGAACAATCTTCTTTGAAACATTCATTGCCTTTCGCTACCTGAAGATAATCAGAACCAACTTAAAAAAAAAAAAAATTCTTACTAATACTCTAATTTAGATAAAAGTTTATTTTGCTACAGAACTATGGAACAACCCTCTTTGAGGTTCATTCATGACATCGCCTCTCACTCGCTAGACATAATCGAGAAACTAACTTAAAAAAAGGTTTTTTATTCTAGTTTTCTTACTCTAGTTTAGATAACATTTATTCTCAAAGATACTTAAGAAATACGTGCATATTTCTGTAACTTCTTAAAATTCCGATCTGGCCAAAATCTTGAGCATTTTTCCAAACTCTATTATCATAACTTTTAAATATTTGGGCATTCCCAATTGCGACAATATTGAAATATTCTAATTATAGTAAAATTAATTTCTTTACTGCTAGATTTTTGACAAAAAGTTTACGTATTATAAAGATATACATGCGATGTGTTGAGTGATAAAAAAACAGTCCCTTGAAGGATATCGTTGTTGTTCGTAATTAAAGAAAGAAGATATAACCATCAGTCTGTATACAGCCTGCGATATTTAATAAATAATCATGTAACTCTTTGCGAGTTTACTAAATAACAATAAAGATATTCTATCGGATAATATAAATTATAAATAGTTGTTTGTTAATTAGGATTATTTAAATTTATTTAATAAAAATTCTATGCTATTCTTGAAAAGGAATTTCCAACTTTGCTTCTAGCAAAAAATAACTTACTAAATTATAATCCATTTTTTATATTAAAACTTACATAACATAATAGAGATAACTAACTTTGAAGCTTTCCGATCGAATATTTGCATTAACAAGTAACTGGCACGAATCAGTCCAGAATTTACTAAATAGGAAAATGAGCAAATCTTTTCTCCAACGATCTGCGATAGATCTATCGATAATGATAGATTTCAGTAAAAATTTCACTCCTTAAATTAGCTTTTTATCAAAATGCAGTCATTAATGGCATAAATATTCGTATAAAATTCCTAGAAAACTGAATAATTAGACGATATTCACGATATATTTTTTTATACGGCCATTTTGCTAACAGGTAGCTTGAGAAAACATGTTTTAAATAATGGAGAAAAAAAACGAAGAGATTACGTCTTGCAATATGTGTATTTAATTCATAGAAAGGCTCAAGAGAAGACCTACAGTTAAAACAATATGAAACATTTATATCACATTGGAAAGTATATATATATATATATATATATATATACCTACATATACTTTTAAGTCGTATATACTTTTAAGTAAATTTTTACGTCAAGAAAATGTGCCCTCGCGTATATAAATCACTTAAAATCATGCATAAAATATGTTTGTTAAGCGGAGGTTGCAATATCAACTCGATATATGGTGTAAGCCAGAGTATCGAGTCGTAATAGACAAATACGAAGGAGTGTAGAAAGCATGCCCCAATCTTAGGTGCAAAAATAAACGTGCAAATAGTAAAATTCATGGATATAATGTATAATATGAGAATAAAAAAAAGTATATGTGCTAATGCGTTTCAACGGTGATCTTCGACGCGTTAATTAAGGTGGTTCGGCCATCAGAGCATATGTCAAAGAAAAAAGTCTGAATTCAAAATATGTTATAAAGAAAACCTAAATACACTTAAATTTGCAATTTTGAGAAAATCTGACGTCTAGTTTTTGAGATATTAAATCTCAAAGTTGGCATTTTTAACATAGGTTTTATGGGAAATGAATTATATATAATATATAAATTGTACCTTATTCTTTTGGAAGCAAATCTCCTATTATCAAAATTGTTTGTTACCTTCCATTATTTTTCAACGTAAACACAATACATAATTTCACTCAAACACATGACACTGGCATAATAGCTGCCTACAGCGAAGAGATGTAATGTCGTGACATTTCTTTTGTACGAATGTCAACTAAAGTCAAATTTTAAACTGTTTACATTTATTAGTAGCTAAATTGATACCTAATCGAATGAAAAGGTACATTATAAAACCAGTAATTACACAAGTGTCTAGAATATATCCATAAAAATGGTTTTCCTTAAAAAAAATGTACGCCTTATATTGACTCATATACGGTACTAGCCAAACCACCTTAAGAGAGAAGCGTATATTCTCTCATTCGAAGATCACGGTTTCACGTGTATCGCAGCGAATTCACGATGGCGGATGGGCTATAATCGCCGACGTAGTATTAATTGGTTGTGATTAGGTAGAAAAGACCGCGTTTCGGAAACTAGTTTCCGAGCTGACAAGGAAAGTAGCTGATGCCTGTCATTATATCTTAAATCATACTGTGTTACTTTAAATAAATAATGTGGAATTAAAACTGAAAGATTTACTATTGTCTTTGCCATTATTACAACATACATCGCAAAACGTGGGATCTATGTTACAGCTGGGCTGCATCGAGAACATCGTCTTGTGCGAATTAATAGCTCTTGATGATTTCGTGCTTAACGACATGCCCGAAATATTTAAGAACCGGTGTAACAGAAAACATAATTTGTGCTATAAAAAAAAATTGATCTTTAAAATGCTTTCGTGAGAACAATAATGAACAACGAATAGCCTTAAAGAAAAAGAATTTACATTAAAAATCTTTACTAGAATTCCATTTCACCACTATGTTCCGTAATATCAAATGCTGTTTTTTAATTAATATAATGTATATTAAACAAATTAATTAACACATTTAATTTACATACAATACATATATATACATATATAAATATATATTAAAATTTTTGTTCTTTAATTCTGCAAATCAGAGTTGTTTGAATACATCAGAAAGTTATAATATAGGAAGTTACAGAGCTGCAATTGCATGACGATACCATTTCATTGATTTTTAAATATCAATTTAAGGAACATTGCGCTATACATTACGTCTGTTATTTTTGATATTTAATTTATTATTTTACTTTTAATAAATCTTTCTTTGTACAATTACAGTGCGGTTCTGATGAGCTGCCCATTTGAAATTGCATAAGTATCACCAAATACGTCGCCACCGTGCCAATCAGCTAATAATCAAAATTAAATGAATTAAGAAAACTTAACTTATATCAGATCCGTATGACATTCTAAATATTCTCACCGAATGAAGAAAACTGTTATCGAGCGCAAAGTATCCCTTAGCTGTGAACTGTACTTTGTGATGTAACAATTGAAGTGAAAATTGCTTGAGCTGCAACAGATCTATGATAAATGTCGTTACGTTGAGTACTGTCCATAAAAAAGTTTCATGTGACTTTGTGTCTTACCTCTGACTTTGACTCTTTACTGATCGTGCATTTTAAAAGGCTATGTATTATTTTGCCCATTTTCCCTATCTAAAATAAATTTATAATTAGAACAATGCTGCACAATTTTGTAAAACATTTTAATATACATGGGATTTTATTTGCTAATAAAAAAATGTCTCTCAATTAAAACAATTCGATTAAAATACGATCAAAATCTAGCTTATTATTATACCGATTATCCTACCTCGTTTAAAGTCTTGGTGATTCTGTTGGTGAGGAGAGAAATGGGATAAATAAGAAATATTAACCAGATGATAGTGTTACTAAGAATCATAAACTTTAAGATATCACCGGTTAGAGCTGGCGCGAGAAGATAATAGCCAATAGATATGAGTCTCACAAAAAGAAAAGTAACGCCGAACAATACGGGCAGTGAATAGAAATCCGACACGTCCTCGGAGATCTCGCAAAGATGACAGTGCATATCTCGTAACTGCAGCAGTTGATGAACTGTGGAATTGCTGAATACAACACAACGCGTTTGATAGAAAGACTGTGGTTGAGGATCAGGTGTGCCGACTCCGGTGAGGCTCTCTATCGCTTGATTCACATCGGCAAAATCCGCTTGAATGATCGTAACCAACAGGAAGTACTGTATCAACAGCCAACCCACGTGAAGAGTCGGTAGAATGCCCGTCAGCCAGCCGATCGGGCCAACGTGAAAGGCTAGGGTCTCAGTGGTCAGAAGAAGAATCAGTAAGCAAACCTTCAAGACGCAGACGATGGTCACGGCATAGAAGATACGCTGTCGACGCAACGGACGATACAAAAGATACAGACGATCCATTTCGTGCTTGACGTCCATTAATTGATTGACAATCTGCACCAAGGATTTCTGATCGATGCAGTAAGACAGTAAAATCGCGCAGATCACCAGGGAGCCAAGTATAGCTTGCAGAACCTCGAGGGTTACAGTTAAGTTTGACTTATTCTCATATTGTACAGTGAGAATGAACGGTATCGACAAATAGTTCGAAGCGATTATTAAGCAACTTAATACGACATTGTAAACGATCCCAAATTTGGAGTAATAAAATGCGCACGATGGTCTCTTTCTCCGCCTGACGATATGATGGGCAAATGTGGCGAGACCAATGATCTTGAAAAATATTATCGGCATTCTAAGCATCCAAAAGGAATCCTGATGTGTCTCTGATTTTATTTTGATCATTTTCCGTTTATTAATTTCTTCCGTAATGACGTTCTTTTTATTGAAATTGTCGATTTTGCAGGCATCCATGAAGATTAAATTGAACTGTTACCGAACAGTTAACGAACTGTTGCCCACTGGTAGTAGCAAGCACGTTAAGGCCTTGAGCGGTAGCAAATTAAGAACCTGCTGCAGACTGACAGTCTGTTGAGCTGAACTTCCGTTATTTCCGCCATTATTAGCCGCACCCCGATGAAGGGGTGATAAAATAGGTGCACCCTGTTTATCACTCATTGCACGTTACAGCATATAATGTAATCACAAATTACCGCGAGGTAGGTGCGCCATCCACGGGAATGAACGTCACGCCCGTGTCCCTCGTGGGTCGACTCGCAATTGGGTACCTCATGCACGTAATATACGGCGCATGAGTTATATTTAATATTTTACAATGCATCGTCACACCGCACGCCCATTGCAAGAACACACTTCTAAACATGGCGACGGCTGCGAGACGAGTTTCGGCCATGAAGATTAAATTCTCAACCGAACCAAAGTCATTCGTGCAACAATTATATTCTTCCATAAAAAACTTAAGTTAATATCTATTTTTCTTTTTCATTATATTTCGTCGATTTATGCGTATTCACATACATTGGTTCATAATGATTCATAAATATCTTCTACATTTTAATTCGGTTTTTTCGATACAATGTTTTCTTTTCTGACAAGACATTCTTAAAGATTTTTTAAATTTATACACTTTAAGGGCCGGTTGTGTGTGTATTCCAACCTGTTGGTAAGATAACTAATAGTTAAATCATATGTCTATCTTTGTCTAATGTAAAGGATAAACAAAGACATATATATGATTTAACTATTATTAGTTAGTTTACCAACAGGTTGGAACAATCGGGCATAAGTCTTGTCAAAACGTTTTAAGCTTGCATCATTTATAATTCATAATTTGAGAAGTGTCCGTTTTTTTATTTTATCGATACTTATCTTTCCAGTTGCTCTGAATCCAAATTGATTGGGATCTTTTGAACGTCATATTACGACCAATTGCAAGTCTGGTAAATCTACAATTTACGTGCACTCGAGTCTAGATTACGCTTTTTACACTGTGAAGTGACACTGATCATACGCAGTGATGCTTCCGCGCAAGTGCCTTTCTCGCAAGCATCATATATGCAAAATTAAATATTAAGTTTGTAAAAGTCATAAAAGTGTAATAAAAAGCATAAAGTCGACACTTCAGTACTATATCAACCGACACGGATCTCGCGATGAAAATAGTAAATTGCGTGTGTTACGTATTGTTAGTGACATCCACTAACTGACATGGGTACGATAAGAATACGGAATAAGTTTTCCATGTTTTCTCTAAGTGTAACGTTAGTTAAATTATCGCACTAATTAATAAACTCAAAATAACAGTTCCGCACAACTGCATTATATAGTCCACAATGTCAACATTATGTTATCATTATGTGGTACAAGTTCTTATGAATTATGTAAAAATATTTCAGCATCAAATATCTAAGTTCTTCCGCTTCAGGGGAAGTTCCCATTAAAATAATAAAACTATATATTTTTATGCACGTTTTCCTGCATAAAATATTTCTTTTATCGTCAAAGAAAACTTTACCTTGTGATTTATCTGTCTAAAGTCATCTGTAAAAGTTATCATAAAACTTAAAAATCTTTCGTATATAATTTACATTGTTAATTTACATAGAATCTTTAAAAAAATTAGATGTTTTTTTCTAATTTAATTTATAGCTAATTAGTTTTTTTCACTATTATATTAAATATATTTTTTTCATTTATATTTATGATTTAAATAGAAGCATTTTTTAGGTATTTATGTTTTTCTTGTAGAATAATTTTATAACTAATGTCCATCTAAAGTTTCTAGACTATCCATCAAATCTATAATTACTTATCAAATTATACATTGTAGCAAGATACACTCGAGTTCAGATTATATACTTATCTATTCTACATCAGTATCTGCTTAATGTGCAAGTTCATTACACATATTAAATCAAACATTTGCATCAGACCTTCCCGGTAATGTCAATTTTGCTGCGCATGTACTTGGAGTGAGATACACTACTGTGTCTCTTGACTACTGTGTTTCTTTAACAATATTTCAGCTTTTAAATGTTTGAGACATTATAAGCTACACTACTAGTTCCGTCAACTCTGAATTCATCGTACTGTAACAAAGTTATTAACTATGTTACAAATTATTTGTATTAATCAATGAAACGTCTGAAAGTCCATTATTTATCCATTCTTAAGAAAGACATATATATATATATATATATATATATATATATATAGCTGATACTTTCGTCCAATTGTTAGTGTTTCTCGAAAATCATTGAGGTTTACAAATCGATAGCCAGAAATTCGCGTTTTTCATTGTTGTACATTAGTTAATAATTTGATAATAATGTTTATTATTAAATATATATCTAAACTGCCTAAACAACTTTTAATAAGTGCAGAATTTTACATCTTCAATAAAAATAAAATTAAAAATAAAATTGAAATAACTGCCTATTAGTATTTTTTTCTCCAAATTTTATGTAGAATAAATTTTAATATTACATTTTAATATTAATAATAACATTTTACCTTTAGTATTGTGAAAGATTAAACTTTACAATTTAGTACTATCACGTGTTGAGATTCATTATGCGGACACCAATGTTAACCGCTTATGTGTTATTAATTCAATATTTTCAACAAAAATTAAAAATATAGATAATTTTTACTATAATAATTGTTATAATCGATTCCATAATTATTGTATAGACGAAAAGTCAAAAGACAATTCTAATGTACACAAACTTATGTTAACATTTACTGCTAAGTAGTAGGGGAGACCGGGGCTAAACCGTCAGTTTTTTTTCGGTGCCGATTTTTAACAACAAAATAAATAATTTTAGTTAAATGTGGTATACCACTGTAAAGAGTGAACCTTTAGCTACAAAATTTATATAGGAAATTTTTGTCTACGTCGCTTTGTTTAACCGGTATAGAGCAAAAACGACAACGGTGGAAAAATTGAAATCTCAAAAATGCCGGGGTAATCCTGAAAAATAATAGGATACATTTTAATAATTGTTTTTTAATAAAAAAATATAAAAATTTATTTAAAATTTTTATGCAAAACATTATTAAAAAATATTTACGAGGGTTCCTTTTTCCGCAGAAGTCACTCGCCCGACTTGTTTCACTCCTCGACGTCCGATGACTCTATTCGGTGTCTGAACGGTTGTAATTCCCGTCTCATCCATATTCCATATGCAGTGAGCCTGGAAATGCCCGAAAATGCCTTGGAAATGCAGCCGGACTGCTTACTGACGGATTAGCCCCAAACACAAGTTTCAGGTTTGATCGCCCACGCAATATTAGACATCAACGATAATGAAAAAGTTACACTGGATTCGTGTTCAGCATGCATTACTCTTTATAATCACGTACTTCGAGATTTGGAGAGCAAATATTATTGCAGATATTACAAAATTTCCACGCGCAGAAAATGTAACTTTCACCTTCCGAAAACACGTTTGCCCTCGTAAAAATCATAACACGGCAGGTAACCTGCCGAAACTCCGTTGGTTACATGGGTACCATAAGCAACGTTTACAATGTTAATAGCGAGTTCGCACAATATACAGGTTCCGAGATATTTGATTTGACGATTCAACCCCGTTGACGTTTTAGTCCCGGTCTCCCCTACATAATAACAATTATGTTTAACTTATTTTGTTAAATTAATATAAAATAAGAAAATAGGATTTAAATGGTCTATTTTCATATAATCATGTTCTATATTATCTTATTTCATGTATAACAGTTTTTCTTACTGACGCATGCATTTAGTGCTTTTCTTATTAAAAAAAAATAATATTGTACAAAAAATAATAATAATAATACAAAAAAAAAAATAATTTTTAAATAACACATTTTACAGGAATATGTGCCCATAATTGTATATGGAAGTAGCTAGATGATTATTGTAAGAACTGCGAAAATAATGATATTGGAGTGTAAAAATCAGTAACAAAACGTTTAATGATATTTGCAGCAACTTTAATAACGATCTCTAATACACAATTTTATTCCACTTCGTATATCCGCTTTACATATCCTACAAATTACATAATTTATTAATTGCCATAATTAATGCACTCTTATTAGTTTACTAATTACACATATTATAGAGAATGAACTTTAACGTATTAATAACAATTAATTTTATGAAGGAGGATGTGTGAGAGTCATCGATTTTTGTCCAGCCGGCAAGTGTTTGTATGTTTTTTTTTTGTAGTTTTTAGGCTGCAGAATTATGATTTTTTATGATTAGTATAAGCCAATTTAATATTTAGATCAAATGTAATAGAGAATTTTGGACTAATGATTGTGGTACACAAATTTCTGAAAAAATGTAAAATATAAATGAAAGTGTAATATGCAAATAAAAGAATAGATAAATCTTTTAATAATTCATAACATATTAGTTGGTTAAGAATAATAATTCTTTACCGTCCAGTATAAGTAATCATCAAAGTGATTTATACGAGAGATCAGGATATAAATCATGTACTATAATAAATTGATATTTCTTTGATTAAATGTAAGTTAAAAAAATATATAGACCGTTTTCTTAAATATCTATTATCTTATTACAATTAAAATATGTCAACCTATCTCTTATTTTACGATTCATATATCAATGTTGAACAAATATAAATACAATATCTAAAGCATGTTTCAATAACAATTTTGTGTAAGAATTATATTATTATTAGTTATAGTACATTTAAAGATTATTTTACAGATCTCATGATAATTATACATATACTTGTTGCAACACTAATATGTCTACATATATCACATAAAATATTATATAAAATATATAAATAAATTGATATACTAATATAAAGAAAATTCATGCAATATTATATTAATTGGTAAACAGTAAAAATTAATAAAGCAATTAGTAAATTATATTCATAAAAGGATTGATGTATGAATCGTAATATTATTTCGTACATTATGTAACAATGCGAAACATAATTCCCCTCGTCAAGTGCGTCTATTTATTAATATATTTCAATATCTTTGTCAAGACTATTGTTATTGCTGCATGGTATTCCATAAAAATGTCATCTGGTAAATCATCAATAAAATCCAAAAGTGTATCGTAGGATTTAAATCCTTGTTGTCCACTGCAATTAGACCTGCATGAATACACGAGGTAATTAAAAAAAACAGATAACTACTAATGTAATTAGAAATACAAAAGCATATTGCAGTCATGTACGTTATACGATCATTGAATGTGACTCTTATTATTCACATTTCTTAAAATAAAATGTTTAAACACAATTACCATTTAAATTCCGTAATACTTGCGCAGTTACATATGCGTATGA